ATGAAGCTGACACTGAGCGGTTAATGTGCCACTGTGACTGAAGTGGGTATTAATTGTTCCATTTAACATTAATTTCTCCTGTGTAAAAGTCTGTTACCCTTTCAGCTTTACTTTCTCCTCTTAATCCCTTAACCCAACCACCTCACACATCCCTTTGGGCAAACTGCCAAACCTGCTTCGTTTCATCTTTCAAAATGGCAGAAAGGGCAGCGAAACCAGATCGTGCTACGACTCTTTAAACAAGGACCATCAGAATTGGGTTTGTCTATTAAGCAAGATAGAGCCTGATTCCCCGTGTATTTGTGAGTGAGTGAGTGAGTGAGTGAGTGAGTGAGTGAGTAAGGAAGAAAGGAAAAGAATGAACGAGATAAATTGAGAGGAGTCAGTCCACCCCCGCTGTTCTCACTCAGCAGACTTGTGATAAGGTTTATCTCCGGTGCCTAACGAGTTTGCCCAGAAGCCCTCTATAGCTCCCGCTGAATGGCCAGGGCTGCAACAAGCTGCACGCAGTAGACAGTGGGCCGAGCTCCCTTAGGTGACCTGTGCCTGTTGTTCATGCTATGCTGCTTTAAAACTTTATTTTTGCAGGAAATGGCTTCACCCCCTTCGGCCACATCTCTTTTAATCTGGGATTTCTCTATGCCTCCTTTTCTTCATCCTTTCTGCTCACTGTTACTCACGCTGCCAAGAGGAGACGCGAGAGCTGGAGAGAGAGCCATGGAGCTTTGGCACAGAGAGGCGTGCGAGGCAAAGATGGAGACACAGAAAAGGGAGAGAGGGACTGCAGCTGAGTTAAGCCGCTAATCACAGTCTGCTCTGCATGAAGGACTTAAAGTCACTCCATTTAATTCTACCTTCTCTTTAGTCAAAAAAGGAAGAAAAAAAACTGCCTACCTCTTCAGCTGCCTAGACCCTATTCTTATCACAGAGCTATTCTGTAGTTGTATAGAAAACTTGAACAAACACGCTGAATATCATGGTGTGACAGGGTGAGTGTCCCTGTATCCCAATTGATCATGCGCCCTGGCTACTTGGCCACGGAGATGTCCCTTTGGCTGACTGGTAGGTAGGACTTTCACCCAGGAGTCTGGGGATCGAATCCCGCCCGGGCCCTCGTTTCTCCACCTTGCCACAATAGCAAAAGTAAAAAACCTCCCAGTTTTAAACGATGCTCATAATTCTGCAATCAATGATTCAGCCACATCTGTGACTGACACGACTGTAATGCCCTTCAGTGGTGCGCTCAGGTGCTTCATTTATTTGTGCGTGAAGCAGGGAATATGAGACGATCCTGGGAGACCATGGAGTCCCTCTGGCTCAGAACACATTAATTGACTTGGCCCAGCATCTAGCCCCGCGCAACAGCCTTTTGCAGAATGCTGTCGGGATCATGAGGGAAAACCCTCTCTCCCGTGTCAAAGCCAGACTGTTTGGACTTCCAGCCGTCGTTTTCACCTCACTTTCCTGTCTCGTCCGTATGGCCAGCAGACTACGGCTTGGCATATAGGTTTTAATCTAATGCTGGAACATTGATTAGTGCTCGGGCATTCCACTGTCATTAAGGTAATTGCATGATCACTCTACAACATCTTCCCTGGTGGACACGGTAATTTGGTTCCCCCACAACCACCCAACTTGCTCGGGAAGACCATAACCACATTACAGCAATAGAAAGTGCAGTAGGAAATATAATCTTTTGGCCTCTGCAAATTGATTTCAAACCATTCCCATCCGGTTATTATACCATGTAAACCCATCTCTCTCCTGTGATGATCATTTAAACTATCGGAAGCTTCTAGGACTTAACAGCTTGTATTGATCAAAATTCGTCAGGCAGCAACCTAAAGGGCTGCTCTCGTGTCACCTGGTAAATTTAAAAGTTCATGTATTTTTGAGTGAAATCATTGCTGATAAAGTGCTTTTTTATGTTTGGGGGCCAAGGCTAGAGGACTCTGATTGTGTTAAACAGGAAGCGGTGTAAAATGACACATCGTGGAGTCTTTTGACACGGTCTTCTAATTCAAGCAGAAATCTGTGGTTCAAAGGAGATGGTTATGCAAATGAAAGTTAAATGTGATCCTAAGTAGGGCTGCACGATATTAGGAAAACGTACGATGTGCGATAACAGTGATTGATATTGCAGTGACGATATGGCTTGCAATAAATAAACAAAAAACTTAAAAACAAATAAAAATTCAAAAATAAAGAGATTTAAACAAATTTAAATGACTAAGAAAAGTCATAAAAAATGGGAGAAGCAAATATTGTGATCAAAAGACGTGAGGAAAGGGAAAAAGACAACGAGCAAGAAAAGGCAATCAGTGGATGGGAAAAGCAGAATCTGCAGAAAGAGCAGAACAAAGCTAACTCAGGTGTTTTCTAGCCATTCAGATTAACTGCTGACCACCTAGGGGGTGGGGCATCTAACCTATAAGAACCCACCCAATTGGCCAAATGATGAAGAGCTCCATCTGGTTAGTCAAAAACGTCTTTCTTCTGTTTGGTTGACAAAATGCATTATATGTAGCAAACATTTGAGCTGACCATTTACTGCGGTTCTTTCTGTTGTTTGTAATCTGTGTATTGCGCTTGCTTCGGTAATCTTGTTATCTAATCTAATACATATGCATTGTATTGTGCAGCCCTAATGTTAAGGGAGGATTCTGGCCTCACAAAAAGAGAGCTGTATAATATTTGCACATTTGGAGATAAACCACAATGAACAAGCACAAGGAGCACTCGAATGCAGGTGAAAATGTTCTTCTGTGAATGTTTTATTTGCAGCTTTGATTTTGAATACGCTTTCTACTAGCAGACAAAAATCTGGAGTCTGCAAAGGTTTATAAACCTGGTAAAGAATGCACGACTTTACGGCTGACCTTGTGTGGTGGTTTCATCTTGAATCCTACAAAGCACAGACTAAAGCCAGCAGGGCTCCATGGACCAAGGTCAAGAAGAACATGATTATTGGAGAAGTCACACAAACAAAGCCTTTCAAAAGCAAACAACTACATTTCTTTGAAAATGTTCCACAGACAAAAGAAACCATAGAGGAGTGTTTTAAACAAATGCATTTTGTTGAAAATAAGAACATCCTTGTTAGAAAAAAAAACTAGACAACTAACCACTTTGCTGTTTCTACGGATGAGAGAATTATACGTCTGAACGTGAAAATACAGAGAAGATCCATGAGGATTTCAGAGGAAAATGTGTTGAGTTGGGTCAGGATATAAAGTCTGACGTCAAACTCATTGGCTTGTCAGCAGGAAAACTACTAAAAGCACAACTCTAAAAGCACAAATAAGCACGAATAAAAAAGGAACACTTGAAACTGGCTGGCAATATGTTGTGGTCTAAATCCCATCAAAGTAAAATGTTGTATTGTTAAAAAACTGCAGCAAGCTAAAGGCTAGTTTCAACTTCTCCATCAGTTAGGGTTCACACACACACAAACATACAAACACGCACACACACACACACACACGTGCACACACACACACGCACACGCGCGCATACACACACGTATTAATGGGGACATTTTCCTTTTATACTTTTTCGTTGGTGTGTCTTTGTGGTGAATCAATCCTCAGGACAGCAGAGAGCGTGGCGTTTTTCTGGAATATCCTGCCATCATGGATTTCTGTAGTGTGTTTATTTTGTGTTTCTGTATTTCAGAGGAATTTTAACACAAATAAATTTGTCCTGCACTTCTGCAAAGGTGGGCCCCATATGGATATATATGTATAACTTGTATGGGTGCCAGCAGGGTTTGTCCTTGGTTTCCATGATGGTCCCATGAGTTTGCTAACATAGATTTTTGCCCACATAGATTTTAATGGGCCCTGCATGGGTTTTCAGAGGGACCCAGACGGTTTGGCTCAAACATTGGCTTGTCAAAATCTATTTGGGCAAATAACTGTGGGGCCACCATGGAAACCGTGGACAAACCTCATTGGCACCCATATGATTTGCCCAATTATATCTTTATGGGGCCCACCTATGAATGCTGGCTGCCTCACATTTCCTGTAATGTCCTAACATGAATTTTGAAAGTTTGCCACATATCCTATAACTACTTCAGTCACGGGTGTATTAACAATAATATCGCCAGACTTTTACCACGTGATGTTCTTCAATCTGCTCCGTGTCTGTCGCTAGATATCTTCGGCTCTCGTTTTATTTTAGTTTCTGGAGGGAGAATGGCGGGGCTGCTGATGAAGTTAAAGGAAGAGACATCCTGACTAATAACAGGCATGTTGCTTTTGACAGATATTTAGAAAAGTGGGCTCTACGCCATCCATCCTTGCGAGCCTGATGGAGAGCCCTAGCAATGACAAACAATGCGTGTCTCCGTACTAGCGCAGACGGAGAAGTATAAACTAGCCTTCAGAGTAGTACAGACTCAATCAAATGAAGGGTGACTGAAACTACTCGGCCAATGTACGAACCGTTTAGATAGCAAGAGAGAAAATGTTTGCCACTTCCACCTGAATAAAGATTGAAACCAAATATCGATGACGGTCTTCCAACATCACCTCTCACTTGCTTCGTTAATCTTGGTGTTACAAATCATTCCTTTTCTCTGGTGTTCAGAGAGTCTGTGCACTTCTCTACATCCTCTAGTTCACTTAACCTCCTGTTGAGTCCTTCATAATTACTTTGTTGAGTTTTACTTCCACTAACCTGGCTGCTGTTTGCCGAAAGCCAATAAACTGATGTTCAATTGTGATGCGATACCACGTGATTTATTCAGGCCCTTTTTCTTTGTGGACTTCCAGATGATAATTAGTCTTTTCTTCAGTTTCTAAACCTTTTAAAGCTTGTTGGTCTCCCGTTGTTCCATTCAGGGAATTGGTTTTCTTGCTTCATTTAGTTTTTAATTACTCTGAGTGACTATTCTGCAAGCATCATTTTGAGCATCGAGTTTTCCGTGTTCATCATGAGCAGCTGTAGGTTAAGCCCCACTCCTACAGATGTGTCACGGCTAATGGCAGACCCACCTTTCTCTCCTGAGACCTTGTAGCAAAAACAGGCATTTGGCAAGCGAGCAGTGGACAGCAAAATGGTGCAATTGACCTCCCTTCGTCTTCTCCGCTCAACCAGCCTGGCGAATTCTCCTCTCCTGAAACGGAAGAAAAACTTTTTTGAGTTTCAACAAAGTCTGATCAGCGTGATGGTTCATTTACTTGTTTTCTTTATTCCATCTATCTCCCCCTCAGAGGCTGAAAAACTTTCTGGAGGAGCGTCAAACAAACAAATAGTAATCAGACATTTAACGAGCGCAGGTATGTGATACGAGTGCTGTTATTAGTGTGTGAATCTGATCAGCTAGAGGCTGATTCCTTGTTGTAGGAGGCAAGGCCAGACACAGGACTTCGGCAGTGATTAAACCTGCACTTAATCAACAGTGAGAGTCTGTCCCAGCAGGAGCAGTGCATTCGCTAGATGTGAGCTACAAGACTGAATATACCCGATGGTGCATGCTGGTTCTCTGCACTCTCTCAGCTTTTCAACAGGTGCACAAGTGACAGGTTAAGACAGATTTGCTGTTGTATTCCCACTGTGCAACTGTAATAATACATTTGAATTGATAGAAAATAAATTGTGCATGAAATGTACCAGCTTGCCAAACCTTCCTCCTCAGCTTATTTGCATAATGGTATCTTGGAACAGGAACCACTTCACCTGGAGTATTCCTCTGAGGCACCATCAGTGATATTCTACAGTTTTAAATGTTAAGTGAAGAACTTGTTAGGTGCAAAGGATGTGCTCACTTTCCATGTCTAACAGGAAGTACAGCACACTAATTTGGACTTTGCACAAATATATAAAGTGTTCCTCTAATTGAAAGGTCAAAGGGTTGGTGACCATCTTAAAATAGTCTCAGATGAATAAGTAACGGCTCATTGCACTTTACAGAGCCAACCCTGCAGTTTTCAGTTGAATGCTCAGTTTATAAAGTTGCAATATTTTGCAGCATTTTTTGGTAAAACCTCAGAGTGGATTCATTTAATCAGTACATTTTCAGTGGTCTCCATTAGGAATGAATGCCTTGTAAGTCGTTCTCATGGGAAAAAGTCTATAGTCGACTCACATCACCCACTGGAGCACAAAATGTCAGTAATCAGGACTTAACACCATCGGGCTGGGAGCATTCCTACAAAGACTGACAGAAAAACAAAAGGAAGTAAAACACATCAAGAAAGCTCTCCAGATCCGCAGATACCCTAACTGGGCCTTTGTGAAAACTACAAAGAAGTCTGGAAAAGTAGGAACCAGCAAAGAAAAGGCCAACAGGTGCAAAGGCACCATCATCACATACGTGGCAGGAGTCTCAGAGAAACTTAGAAGAATCTTCTCCAAACACAACATCCCGGTAAACGTTAAACCCAACAACACCCTCAGACAGAAACTGGTCCATCCTAAAGACAAAACACTCAAACAGACGCTCAGTGGCGTTGTTTATGCAGTCCAACGTAGTGAGGACTCCAGATCTTTATTTTGAGGAAACTAAACAACAATTGCACAAAAGCATGGCACAACACAGGAGAGCCGCCTCTTCAGGTCAAGACTCTGCAGTCCACCAACACCTGAAGGACAAGGGACACACCAATGAAGATGACAAAGTCCACATTCTGGACAGAGAAGATAGATGGTTTGAGAGAGGAGTAAAAGAAGTTATCTATATCAAATGTGAAAAACACACTTTAAATAAGGGAGGGGCTTAGATTTCACCTTTCCAGTACCTATAATGCAGCTTTAATCTCATTCCTAAGCAGTTTCAGTCTAGGTCACACCTTCCTGCATCTGATCAACACAACTCCCTCTCAATAGAGGCTAACGACTACTCAGGGGATGGAGAGGTGGGGTATCCACAGTAGTTTCTGCTCGTTGAACAACAGACAGCTACTGCTTATAAGCTTGACTCTCCCATGTTTGACAAAGGTCCTCGGGTGAGAAGCAAAACGTCTTCAACAAACCAAAGAAGTCCAGCTGCCTTCATCTGCACCCTTTGAATCAACAAGATACACCACCTCATTTGGGGACTAGGTTTGTGAGCACTAACTCATTAACATAGTGGAGACTTTGCCTCAAGGAGAGGGAGGCAGAACCTTTTCCCTGTGTTTACTTCTCGTAGCCCCACCCCCAAACAATCTCACCAATTATTAAAGTGAACCATTTCACTTGGTTATCAGTGATCCATTTTGTTTCGTTACTTCACACTGGAGGCATCAGTGGCGTGGAACGGCAGCAGAACATGGCTGCTTCAGATAGAAGCCATTAAAATCTATGGGTTGGTCCAATTGGCTGTGGCGAGGAAATTGTCAGGCACATCCCGGAAGCAGCGCATTAACGCCGGGATCAGATTCTACTTTTGCCATGAGCTGCTTCTGGGACAAGTCAATTCCCGCCGTTTTTACAGGGTTAGACAGGAAATCACACACAGTTTCAGTTTAAAACATCCAGTAATTTTCAAAAGAAAAGACTGTTGCAGCAATGTGATTTCATATCTATGTAGATTACGTCAATACATGTGACCCTATATGACATCAAACAACGATATCAAACTTGATTTATTTTCTTCTTCTTCATTTTGGTTTAATGGCGAATGGCATTAACAAACGGTGACCTTTGAAGTCTCAAAGCATTTTGTGAGATCGTAAGTCCGGCAAGGAGGACGGTGGAGAAGCCTCTCTGCGACTGAGACTCTCCGGTGTGGACTGACGTGCAGCGAAGCACGTGAGTAAACAGTCCCGCTGCTGTTCTGCACCGCCGATGCCTCCAGTGCGAAGGAGGCATCACAGTTTTCTCAGCGAGACAAAACTCAACCAGAGGAAAGACAAGCAATTAAAAAAATGTGTATATATATATATATATATATATATATATATATATATATATAAGTCAGACAAGAGGAACAGAACTACAGGTGTTAAAATATCCGTAGAGTTGTCTAAAAACTATGACTTTGTATTCTTTATTGACATCTTTAGATCATCCTACCTTACCTGCCACATGTCTTTCTTGTGCTATCTCTGAAATCTTTTTTGCCTTTTTTTCTTTTTTATTTCTTTGCAGATTGACATTTTTATTGTGATTTCAGTTGAATTTTTCTAGCATGTACTTTGGAATTGTTATTCATTTGTCTTGTTTCACCCTACAAACTGTTGTTCATTTCATTTGCTCATGTTCTGATTCTACGTTATGGTCTCTCAGAATTTCCCAACAGCCGTAATCCAGGGTTGAATGAGCAGTCAGCTCAAGAAGAGGTCCTGGTGGCTTTTTCCAACTCATAATTACTGAAGCCACTGTGTTCCTGGAAATAATCCACATTTTAGAGGTTTTATACCCCTACATGTCCTTTCATGTCCCTTTATTGGAGGCATCGGTTTCATCCATCTCATGGATTGTTTCGGATTCTGGTATATTTTGTTACTTTTGGAATCGTACACAAACAGTAAATATTAGTTTGTTCGTTCCATCTAACATGTTTTACTTTACGCATGCTGCAATCACAAATAACAGCATTAAAACAGCTTAATACGTGAATGGATTCATGGCGTTTTAAGTTAAAATTGTTCTATGGTCGATACAAAACATGTTTATGAAGTTCTTTGCATTAAATCTCTCTGACATAAAGCTATTTTAGCTGTTTTATTCTTGACAGTTCGAGTACCTTCTAGAATGAGCCGTTCATGACTGTCATTTTAAGTCAGGGGTGTCCAATCCTGGAGGGCCGGTAACCAGCAGGTTTTGTGGTTTTTCTGCTTCAACACGCTTGATTAGCTGGTTGAATCGCCTGTGCAGCAGCTCATCAGGCTCTGCAGAAGCCTGTTAATCACCTGCTGATTGAAATCAGGTGTGTTGAAGCAGGTTAAAACGAAAACGTGCTGGATACTGGCCCTCGAGGACCAGGATTGGACACCCCTGCTTTAAGTAAACAAGTTGGCACTGGCCATGCCCACCTGTCCCTTGCTCAAGCTGCTATAAGCTGAAAAGCTCTAATATCTAGGAGGAGCTTGGAGTAGAGAAGGCACTCCTCCAGCAGCAGCTAATCTCCTCCAGGCAAAATGTGGTATTTTATTATAATTCCCCAATTTGTGACATCACAAACGGCATCTTTATGAAACAGGTTATTTCAGGTACATAAATCCTGAAACACTGCCAGAAAACAGATGAATGGACATTTGTAACGTTTGGCGTGTTTATATAGGCAGCTGAGACCCACATGGCAGCACTAATATGTCTGTCAGACTGGTCGGCTGGATACGGGAGTTGAGCTTGTAGAGAGCGTGGTCTCACAGACGCGGAAGTGATAGCTTAGGTGAAACGCCGGCTCACAGTTTAATCTAGGAATCCCCGAGCGTTTGAGCGTCAATGAAGTGACACGGAAATGCTGGGTTTTCCAGAAGTAAGTAAGAACACTTAGTGTGAGCTGAGAGTTCGTAAGATGGATCGGTTGCTTGGAAAGTCTGATCATAGATCTGAAGAAACGATGACTGAGTGGTGAGCTGGGGAGGCGACTTCTGTATATAGTCGCGGTTCGTGACGTAGGTGCAACGTGGAGGGAATCCCAGAGAGGGGCATGCTGGGAGTTGTGGTCCATGGTGGAGGTCGGCTAGCTGGGAGAGGCTGGTTTGGGGACTTGGGTTCTGACAATGTCCCCTTAAACTTTCAATGCATTACCTCAACCCCTAACCTCAACCCCAAGTCAAAACATTTAAGATTTTAGAGTTTGGTTAAATAATTCCACCAAGGATAGGTCTCCATTTCTGCAGTTCCTCTAATGACTCAGTAAATGCAGAGATGGTGAAATACTGAGAAAAACATTTTGGTGCTCAAATAAAAAGAAATAAAACACATTAAATAATCCTGCACTTTTCTTATGTCATCGCAATGTGTACCTAAAAAAAATTAATTAGAGGTGCCAAAAGTTTGTTTATGCAGCAATAAAATGTTCCCCTTTGGTTTAATAATAATGCAGTTTTATTAAGCTCTTACAAGAGATGATGCTTTAAGCATTGATCCATACAGCTACCTAATCTCTTGTGAAACATACAGATAAGACAGTGCAGCTCAGAGCTTGTTTGTTATAAAGGATGGGATAGCGAAGATTTAAAA